ATGATTACATTATAGTATTCCATGAGTAGAAATTATAGTTTAACTTAATTATTTACATATTATATATTTGACATGTCGTATGCCATTGTAGCTTGAAGACATATGACGAATATTATGTGTTTTACTTAATTTGTTTGTGCATAGTAGTTGACTAATATATTGTATATATGTATTATACCTTGATGCACAACTTATTAATTTTAGGAAAGCTTACACGGACATTGTAATATGTTACGGCTAGGGCATGGCTCTAGTATGGGGGATGAGAGCCCCCCCTACAATATATAGTGCGCACTGGGTGGGATCCTGAGGGCTAGTAACCCAAAAACACAAATATACAGTTTTATTCCGGGTTTAGTGCGCACTAGGTAGCACCTTGAGGGCTAGTAATCCGAGATCACTTGCTTGGTCATTGAGACCATATGTCCTTGTCTTTCCGCCACTACTTGATTTCGCATTCAATTCCAAGTTGTTTAATATGGATTATTTATAGCTTGTGATGTAGTGTTTAATATTTCAATTAAGTGTAGTATACATGTGCTTAGTATACTTGCATGCTTTGCTTTTCAATACAAGTTAATAGCACTAAATTGTCATAACTTGTTATTTCCGTATTTTAGATCTCAAGTTATTAACTTTGATAATCTATACCTTGATACGTTGTATTAGAAGTTCTAATGTTAGTTAAAATTTCATTGAAATTGTAATTTGTGTTTTAATTGTTCAATGTAGCTGAGGATGATTCCTTAAACTCATTTGGAATATAGACGTTAGGTGGTATGAACCGTTTCGGTTGTTTTCGCATTTTAGGTTCCAAGTTGATAACTTTGAATATCTATATCTTGTTACATTATACTATATGCTCCCATGTATTTAAATTACATGAATGATGTAGTTTATGCTATAAATGCTCTAAGGTAGTTTAGGATACTCCCCGAGTCTCACATTTGACATAGACGCTAAGTGGCATGACCGTATGAATCGATTTATATCAACTTAATAAGTTTGTAAAACGTTAAGTCTTTGCATGCTCATCTCTTACAAGTAGCTTTATGTTACTCACCCACGTAGTGGGGACATTTTTCAAGTACAGGAATCAAGATTCGAGATTCACATTATGCTTGGGATGATTTGTGGATTTGAAGTTCATGATTCATGCAAATGTTAACATGAAATCTTATTGCAACTTTATATGTCAAAACTTGTATATTTGGTTCTAAACATGTAATGTGTACATGAGTACACCCTTTATGATGTATTTGACATATATGAGATGAGACCATGGACCAATGATTTTTATTTTATATTCTAAGCACTTTTACTTTCAAACTTTATTGTTGAAAAATAGAAAAATTGCATGCTTTAGCATCACTACATTTCCATGGGTGGTAGGAAGTCGATTTTTGCACTTCCATAGGATCTCTTCAATTATGTATAAAGTGTGGCCAAAGGCTAAACGGTCATTTGATCTCATTTTGTAATTTTAAGTTTCAAATTCCCTTTTAAAGTCCATTTTTAGCATTTTTGAGGTTCGGATAGGATGTATTTTGTATCGGGCATTTTTGGAGCCCACGGGTCATTCCCGCGCACTTAAAATCACTAAATACATTTGTGTGAATAATCATTTCAGCCTAGAAATACATTTAGGGTCAAATGAGCACTTGGTGCAAAGTTACATTTTTATTATTTTTGACCTAAACTGATCAGGGGCATTCTGGGCATTTCACAGTGCATTTAAAAATTTTCTTTCGACATAGTCGGGTAGAAAACTTGATTTTAAGGGGGTTTCTTCTTTTTGTTTTTACAAAAAATTCATTTTGATGTCGAAAGCAACTCACAGATCTAGAAAACCTGGTGTGCACCATTTTTTCAAGTTTTTCTAAAAAATTTTGATCTAAAGGGCATTTCGGGTATTTCACTTGAAAAATAAAAACTTCTTCGAGGTGGGGGGGGGGGGTGTTTCTTCATAACTTCTTTCCAAAAAATGTCATTTAAGCCCTCAAAACCCCATTTGAAATCCAAAAATCTATGCAGGCCTGCACAGATTTGAAACCCGGAAAGTCTAATTTTATGAAACTTTGAATCTTCATATCTTCTTCGTCCGGACTCCGAATCAAGTAATTTTTGAGTCTAAGTTTATTAATTTTTACTTGCCTATTCAATGGTATGTACGGTTACATCCAATTCTATCTGAAAAGACCATTTTACCCCTTGTTAATTACTCTTGCCGCATTGATTTGAAACCTAAAAGTTTAATTTTATGAAACCTTGGAGTTTCATATTTTCTTCATTCGGACTCCAAATCAAGTGATTCTTGAGTCTAAATTTATTAATTTTTCCTTATCTATATAATGGTATGCTCAGTTCCATCCAGTTTTATTTGAAAAGACTATTTTACCCCTGGCCAATTACCCTTCCCATTTTATAATATTAGCTTCCGCATTTGATTCTTTTGAGTTCCGTGACTTCATGGAAGGTTACCTTGGCGTCCTAGGGATGTCGTATGTCCCTAGAGACCTTATTTCTGTTTTCGCTTCCGCATTTCGGATCCGTTTCGGGTCATCTTACGGATCATCACAAGACGCACTGGCTTGAAAAATTAGGATTGTCACAGGAACTAGAACTTCTTCACGATCCTGGTTACCATCAATCCCAAGTTCAACGAGTCTCTGTCGGATTTGTTGCATCATGCGTTTCATCCAAACCAACTGCTATTTTTTAATATCAATGGCTGCCCAAAGGCCTGCACTCCCTGATCTTCGTTGCGAGAACGGTTGATGCCAAAATGATCAATTACCATCAGACCAGGGAACGACAAGGCTCTGATACCAACAGATGTAGGGGAAACGATTAAAATCATTCACAAGTTAGGAACGAGGGTTACCTTGAACCAAAGAAAAGAAAATTTGCAGAGGAATCTCATATTGTATTTGATTAATATATATATATATATATTCCTACTCTTGCAATACAAATTTTTATAGTAGAATAATAAGCTTGATCTCTAAGAAACCTTAAAAGCTTAAGGAAACAAATTCCTCAAGGAAACGAAACTAAGAATATAAAGAAATTACGTAAAATTAAAATCTCTCTAAAACTTTTAAAATAAAAATAAATAAATAAACTTAATTATAAAAAAAATACTAAAATATGTCCTACATCACAGACCCTAGCATATATTGGGTTACAACATAGACTAGAATTCGGGTCCATGACCTGCAACACAAAAACAAGTCAAATATATATATTTTTTCCCGGGAACGCTACTCCTAGACTCGGTGGCAATGCAATCTGGGGCCACAACTTCACAAATGCTCCATCTTAATCTGCTATGTTATTTGGTATGAGCCTACTCTAGTCAGACAAATTCTTTTGCTCCACTGAGTTCCGATCTATTATGTGTTTGAGACTTTGAAAGAATAGAGGCCTCGAGTTAATTGGCCAGGGATAGGATTTGCTACGTTGAGTACATATTTTACATTTGATAGATTTTGCAAAATGTGGTTGCTGAACACTTGCATTGTATATGCATGTCATGCTTACAAGTGTTTGGTAAAAATATCCATCATTCGGCACAACTTTAACGTGGTTTAGTCCAATCTGGCCTATGTACACGAAGAGAATAAATTTCACTATATTTATTGGAGAAGTGCACCGATAGAGACTCAATACTGAATCGTGTACAAAGCTCCTGTTTTAGGGTATGATAGCAGATACCGAACCTTACACATTTACCACTCAACAAGAACTTCCTTCGTCATCAGTGTTCGACCTACTCTACTAAACATTATCATGACTCTGTGATATAGAAGAACCCAAGATGCTCACACACCCCCCTCTCTAAGAAGCTACGCCTTTCTACAATATCCTTGGTGCCCCTTATCCCACTTGGTGCACTATCACCTTCTCTACTTTTGCTCTTCATGGCAACTATGGTGTCGTCATGCAGCTGCATTATTTGACTTTGCTCTTCAAAGCAAGCATTTATATAGTCAATGGGGTCGTCATGCAGCTTGCCATTATTTGATTTCTGCAGCGCTTTTTGGTGGGCCTGCACGTGCTCAGGTCTTTTTTGGCTGCTCTCTGACAGACAACTACCGCATTGTGCCTTTTTGCTTTCTTCTCTGACCGACTTTCTTTTTCTTCTCACATGCACATCAACTACCGCATTGTGCCTTTTTGCTTTCTTCTCTGACCGACATTCTTTTTCTTCTCACATGCACATCATCACTTACACTATCCATTCTCCTTTTTCACACCACCACTTACACCTTACATTCATCGTATCCACTTACCTATAACACGTGTGTGTATTTCTCAACAATATGAGATCCCAGATTTCGTCCCGACTAATATTGGGACGCCAGATTAGTCGGGACACCATACAAAGCACTACTTCCACCGATTCAATAAAAGTAAGATTTTCACTCGTAGGTGTGGTTCTAAAGAATTGTTTGAACGGATTAGATAAAGCTCAAGTTTTTTCTCGCAATTATTTGCACTTAAAAAAAGTCTAACCTTAGACTTAATACTTTGAGGCACCAAGCCCAAGTCACTTACTCTTGAGCCAACTCTTTAGAGTTTACATACCCATGTATACTGACTCACACAAATGCAAGACAGCAATTTTCTTTTTCTTTTTTTTTTCTTCGTGAGTGGACTGATCTCATCAAGAAGATGGCCATTTATTGTGTTGTTTCACTTGCCAAATGCAGTCGCAGATTCTCAACTGGTCATTAATTAAGTCAGTGAAGGAGCCAAACCATGTCCTAAACTAACTGCAGAATAAACATGACAGTTTGTTAATTGGTTTATTTGAAATTTTGGTTTAGGTTGTTTGTCATTGGGTTTTGCAGCAAAGTTTATGTACTCTAGGTGCTACTCAATCACATGATGAAAAATAGTTTACAAACAAGGAAAAAGATGCCACTAAACTTGATATACATTGCACCTCTTTCTTTTTAGCTACATCCCTGGCAAGGTAATCACTGAAAAATTAGACAATGTATTGAATTCACTAAAATGTATCCTTACAAATAAAAATTAACTTTACACAACCTGTCAGAGAAAATGTCCAGTGTAAATGATCAACATGTTCTACATATGTAATGCGTATTATAGATATAGCTTTAAAAAAGCGCTAGCCTAGTGCACAAGGTTCTCATCTTGCAGTGTCTGGAGAAGGTCAGTTGTTTCCAATTTCCTAACCATTAATTTCTTGGTCAAAAATGGATCGAACAAGCTCCACCCTCATGATATATCTTAGAGGGAATCAATGTATTGGCTTCCAACATCACTAAACATGTAATGGCAAGCAAAGAAATTGAAGTATATGAAGTTTATACCTCCTAAAGCAGCAATGATGAAATAGAAGTACTCAAGTCTATTGGAATTAAGATCATGACCACCTACCCATGGTGGTTTTCCTTTAGATTGACTTAAAGTGTGGACAAGATTGGAAAGAACAGAGCTGAGATAGCTTGCCATAGATAAGCTGAGAAAGAAGAGTGAGCCAGCCATACTTCTCATGCTCGCTGGCATCTGGTTGTTGAAGAACTCCATGATTGCGACTGCAGAAAATGCTTCAATCATACCCGACAAGGCGAACTGAGGCAAGAGTAGTGCAACACTAATTGGTGAAGCAAAGGAGCCCTGTTTTAGAGCTGATTCGCGACGTATTTGCTCTGCAAACCCTGCTACCAACATGCAAATAATTGACATCACAATGCCAATTTGTACTTTTCTTTTCGTAGACATTCTTATATCTTTTTCTGTGCTTTTTTGAGCATAAGGGACATAGATACACTCATAAATGAAAATCCATAACGCAAGTGCAATCATTGATGAGAGGCCCATCCATGCCGGTGGCACCTTGAAGCTGCCAATCGACCTATTTGATTGGAGGACTTGGAGGATTCCAAATGTACTCATCTGATCCATGGCTATGAAACAAGCGATTCCCGTAAACCAAACTGGCACAATTCCTACGACACATTTTAGTTGTTCAACCTGTTGCACACTACAAAGTCTCCAACTATTACTTTGAACACCTTCAGCATTCACTTCAGTTGGATCACAAATGATTGCAGCCTTGTCAAGGTACTTAAACCTATTGGTGCGAGCAAGAAAATACGGTTTCTGGTTCGAGTCCTCACTGGGAGGATCATAGAACTTAGAGTCTGGCCCCAGAGTTACACATCTCTTTCTAATGGCAGCATTGATCACCTTGATCATGTCCACGAGAACGCTTCCTTGGGGCTCAATGCAAACATAAACAGGGCGCCCACATAAGAAAATGAGTATGGCGAGGGCAAAGCAGGCAGTTGGAATGGCATAACCCCAAACCCAACTCACATTGGTTTGAATGTAGACGACAGCGGTGAGAGCGACCAAGAGAGCAATTGTGAATGAGAAGTACCACCAATTGTAGAAACTCTTGAGCTGTGATTTACCCTTTTCTGTTCTGGTGTCGAATTGATCAGCACCGAAGGCAATGTTGCAGGGCCTGATGCCCCCTGAACCTATTGCTAATAGTCCAAGACTCGAGAAAAGGAATACCAGCTGCCATGTCTTAGGCTGGGGGCAACTGGACTCGCCATGGCAGTCAGGGGGTCTAAGCTGTGGTGTGCCTGCAGTTATTGCTACCATACCCATCCCCTGTCAAAAAAGCAGCTTGTGCTGTTCATTTACGTGATATAGCTAGAGTTAGTATTTAGATCCTTTCACTCTAAACTTGGTGTTTTATAATTTACTTGGTTCAGTTTCCTACGAATAAGTTCTATTGTCATAGAACAAAAAAAACAAAACCAAAAAAAACCAAAAAAAAAAAAACAAAACAAAACATGATCAATAATGATTTTTATTCGGATAACAATTCACCAAGTGGAGAAGCCATTGCAACTGCCTTGTCTTGGCTGGCCATGATTTTATTATTTTTTTTTTTTTCTTCTGACAAACTAGGGAGAGACGGACTTGAACATAGGCACAGTTGCTCGGAGAGCTGGACGCTTTACTAACTAGGCCACTGGATAATGCCCTTCGCTAGCCATGATTGGTAGGATGGTTGGGACTGTCAACCACAAGACGGTCTTGTTTAGAGTCTTGAGACACATACAAGCAGTAGTAGGCAGTTTTTCCTGGAGGCCTATACAACTGCATTGCTAGGGCATGTTTGGAATAGAGTGTGCGGATAGTGTCTCTGTCTTGCCTTAGCCTTGGTCGGGATTATTCCTTTCTATACTTTTCTGTGAGCAAAATAAGAAATGTTGGGACTGTTGTCCTGTAAATTGTGATGTGCCTTGTTCATTGTGTGGTGTGTTGGTTGAGACCTGCTGGGCAACCAAGTGCCATTACAGATGCAAAAAGTTAGGCAAGAACTTGAGCTGTAATGATTGGCCCAATGGAGGAGGAGCTTCGGCTTCTCCACTCCGTGCATTGATTTCGGATTCTCTATCATTACTCAAACATGATATAGTTCAAAAGTTCATTTGATTGATAGTTTTCGGAAAATCGAGTTGAAAAGAATTCTTAAGGCTTGTTAGGTTTAGTTTTATGATTATTGATTTGGGTTCACGGAGAATGTAAAAACCAGTCATAAATCTGTTCAGTGGTTGACTATTATTTTAAAATTGGTCTCTTTTATTTATTTATTTATTGAAAAACGATGTCCCTACTTGGTTTAGTTTTTGTAAAACAGTTCTCAACAATTAAAAAAATAAAAAGTATTTTCTGAGAATCATAAAAGACTTTTCTACACAAATAAACAGTTTTCAAAAACCTGACAATCAAATAAGTTCCCAACAATTTTATGATATTCTCACAAAATTGAACCAAGCAAATCCATGAAAGAGATGATTAAGAAATAACCTAATAGAAACTTTATTTTCCTTTCATTTGTTCATGCTTTTGTTTTTGTTTTTGTTTTTTTTTTATTTTTAATTTGTTTTACATACTCTAATTAAATAACCTAAAGAAAAATCATTTAAACATTGTAAAAAAAAGAAACCCTTGTGGACGTACCAAGGAAGAAATGATCAAGCCAAAGAGGATAGTGAGGAACCTGCCCAGATAAGCATCAGCAAGAAAAGCACCAGCAATTGTGGTAACGTTGGAGGAGCCAGACCAGATATTGACTGTATTAACCAACAGTATACCACCAATGTTATATTGTGTGTGCAGGTACACCGTAAGATTAGATATCAAACTCATGGAAGCCAACCTCTCGAATGTTTCATTACCTTCAAAACCAAAACCATCACACATTTAATTAAATCCACCCATAATCAACCACAAATTAATAGATATATATAAACACATTCACATACATATATATATGGTTTGTAATATATATAGTTGTAGATTTAATTTGCAGATCAATTACCTAGGATGTATGCTATGGCTATCCATCCTCCTGGTTTTAATCTTGGAGGAGGAGGAGGATTTTCTCCCCTTGTGGAAGAATGTTTTTCTTCCTCCATCTCCATGCCCCCCTGTCTCTCTCACCCTCTCTCTTTCTCTCTCCACTTAACATTCCTAATTTTTTCAATTTCCTCCATTAGAGGTGGGGAGAGAGAGAAAAACCAAATTGCTGAAATAGTTAAAAATGGAACATGATAGTTGAGTTGAATATTGTTATAACAGAAGAGATAGAGATAAACTAAGCCTCTTGTTATTTAACCTATGATGATTCGTCCACCTATTACGCAGTATTTAGTTGTCTGACACGACCGAGTGTATCCTAAAATTTGAATTTTTCTTCTTTTATTTTTTATGTATATATTTTTTTACACAGAAATCATATGGCTGCCCGGACAATGGAATAGTTTTGCAATTATTATTATTTATTTAAAAAAATGGAATTTTAAAACATATTATGAAATTAATAGAGAATAATATATTATATTATTTAAAATAAAACAATTTAAAAATAAAAACAACACACAATTTTTTATTATTTAAGATTTATAGTGTTGTAACTTGTAACTTAGGAAGCACAGATATAGATGGGCACGAGCACAACATAGTACTGTCTTGGTGATACAACAAATATGAATAAAAAAAATGGAATACAAATACGGCATGAATACATAATATATATATATATATATATATATATATATAATAATAATAATAATAATAATTTTTGTTCATTTTATCCATATTGGAATCACTAATTTGAAATTTAGAGAAAGATGTTTGTTATTTTTATTTTTTAAAAGATATATTACACTGACCTCCTATGTAAATAAGCTAAATAATGTAAGATATAATTTTTGTAATTGATAAATTTCGATGTCAAAACAAAACCTGATTGAGTTGTAATTTTAAGTTACCATATCAAGATCAAGATTAAGATTGACTGCGGAATTGGAAGGTTGTTCGAAAATGAAATACTGAAATCGTCGAGAAAGGAAAGAACAACACTACAACACTTTTAAGAAGTCATTTCCCACTTAGGACACAATACCTACATGGTATGTTTTCAAAGTTACCAAAAAATAGAGTTTTCCAAGTTCTAATTGAATTATGTCAAGTGGGAACCGGTACCAATATTTGGGAACCGGTTCAAGAACAAGGGATTTGAAGAACATCATTTTGTCCAATAGGATCCGGTTCCACATATTGGCTACTGGTACCACTGCTGTTTCATATTAAGGTAACTTTGTCCTATTATGTTTCAAACTTCTTAGTTGGTTTAGAATATTACCAAAAGTCTTATGCACGAAATTTCTTTGAAAATTCTATATAAACCGTGATATTCATCTAGGTTTAGTACGACTTTTGCATTTCAACTTCATATTTCATAAAAGTCTTACGAAGATTATTTTTGTAGAAAATCCAAGTTGATTTCTCTGTCAATCTTTCTAGAGCATACACATAAACACAGAGTGAGTTTAGAGTGTTATTCAAATCCTAATCGTGATCAAAGTCATACATCTATAACGATCAGAGAAAAGCAGATTTACTTCTACATTAAATTCAGATATTAAAGAACATAAGTAAAAGCGATCACACTTTAAAATGGTTAAAGCATTCGAGTAGTGTTATTTGATCTACATGCAACCCTTCTACAGAGATCAAGAATAAGCCTGAGGTCAAGTGTTGTTGGATGGGACGTTGCAAAGCCAAAGGATTATCAGTAATTGGTATTTGGTAGAACGATAGGGTGTGAGCCTGAGTCAAAGTTCAGTATACTTTGTTTCAAACATAGTGGATCGATGTATTTTGGACTGCACAATCCACGAGATTTTTCCTACGCAAACAATTGGTTTATTTTACCAATTGGGGTTTTCTCGCTAAAAATCCTAGTGTCATCTCTAACTCTTACTTTACTTTATTTTATCTTGCAAAGATTAATTATTTAATTACTAAAATAAGTAAAGATTAGAAAAACACAGATCTGTTTTTAAAAATACAAACTTTTTAAATATTCCGCTGCGTATAACTCACAAATAATAATGAGCTCATCTGAGTTTTTGAAAAACAGCATTAACCTCCCTTGTCAGTGTTATTAGAGTAACACCGACCTGTTGATGTGTAGAACATCCAATATTGCAGTTGAAAAGATATTTATGTCCATATGTTGGAATGATAGATGACTAAAATGCCTTCTTTTATACAAATATAGTGAACAAAAGTTCTCTTTGGTCAAATCTATACAAAATCCCCTTCTGCACCCCCATTTCACCCCATTTCCAAGTCTCTCTTTCTTCCTCACAATACATAGCTCCAAATGGAAGAGGTAAATTCTCTCACTATTGTAATGTCCTGAATTCTTTAAATTTTTCTATAATTTTATTTTATTTATTTTTCGCACATCGTTTTGCATGCCACGTGGGCTTCAAGGGCCGTTTGGCCATTTTCTTGAGCCGAGAGTTTTAGAAATGTATTTTAAATTATTTTAAGTCAATTAGAGTTGACATGATCATTTTTAAAAAATTTCGAGAGTTGGGCGACTTTAAGGTTCTGGAATCTCTCTCGATTTTGCCATTGCATTGAAGGGCATTGTGGTCTTTTCATAATTATACACATACACCAATATCTATATATTAGAGGAGATATTTTGTGCGACAAGCATGACATTGTAATAAAAAGATTAAAAAAGTTAACCAAAAGATTAAAAAGTTAACCACCCATTCTTTTATTCTTCCTTCTCATCGGCAGAATCTCTCTCTCTATCTCTCTCTACAATTGCATTTTCTCTTTCTATATTCTATATTTCTACACACAAGCTTATATGCCATTTTTTATAAGGTTAGGCTAGGATTTTGATGAAGACCAAGAAGGGAAAGTTGGAAAGCATGACGACGGCTTTCATTGGACACCAATGGTGCAAGGGTTTGGAGAATTTCGAATTTGGGTTAGGCTTAAAGGCTTGCTTAGTTGCACATTTTTGAGGTAGGAATTTTCCTAATGTGTTGAACTTTGCCTTTTATTGAGAATTTTTACTATATTCTTCCATGAATTCTAAGTTGAGAGCTATATTATGAGGTTGTTGCTATATGATTGCTAGTGATGTGTTTAAGTGTCTAAAACATGCTTCTGTGAAGTAAGTGGATTATTCTATATTGAAACTAAGTGTTAGCATGATTGTGTTGCAATTGATTTAAATTGTAGAGCATACTTATGGTTAAATGATAAAGAAATCCAATACTTGTATTAATTTTGCGGAAGAATTGTGATATCACCTAATTTCGGAATACAAGTTGATCAAATCCACGCACAGAATCAGGGGATATCAAAACAATTAAAATATATCAAACAAATACAGATTATAAAAAGAACTAAAAATAATAAATAACTCGCTGAAGAAAACTAATAAATAATAATTTCATTAATACTTCTCCAAAATTACAATTCGGGAATCCCGTAATTCAAGAACCCTAAAAATAGTATCCAATAATCTAGTTTATAATAAAATAAATCCATCATCTAACAATGAATAAATATCCTACTTTAACATAGGAAGAAAGAATAGATAAGTCCCCCAAGCTGTAAATCCTCAACATTGAGACTTGAACATCTAGAACTTGAAAGATAAAAATAAGTGGGTTAAACTCACGAGCAAGCTCTCTTTACCAAGCCTCTGAAAACCAATAAAAAGATCATCTCTGACCAAAACCAAATCTAATAAAGTTTTAACTTTAATATACAAGGATATACATAAATATAAATGACTATATACAATTTATGTAATGACCCGAACCCGAGGGTCTGAATCGCTAACAGGGTCCTTACCCGAACCCGAGATTCCGAATCTCTAACCGGGTCCTTATCCGAACCCGATGTCAACTAAAGACGCTACCGTCCTTTCCTATGTCAATACATAATATACGTGTCATCTCAAGGTTTATAAATAATAATAATAATAATAATGTTTGTAACGACCCGAACCTGAGGGTCCGAATCGCTAACCGGGTCCTTACCCAAACCGGAGGTCAACTAAATACGCTACCGTCATTTCCTATATCAATACATAATATATGTGTTATCCCAGGATTTATAACTAATAATAATAATAATAATAATAATAATAATAATAAAATGAGATCATAGCTACAAAATATGTCAAAGCAGTCCACTAACCCATCAAAACCTATGGAGGGGTGTCGTCCGCCACTTCTCTTCCGTGTCCTGAAAAAATGTTGAATATAAAGGGTGAGCAAAATTGCTCAGTAGGTAGTGCCTAAGACATATCTCTTGTGACCCCGTGAATCCAAACAATGAATAGAAAAATAAAGAAGCGGGATCATGTCATACCGGGGTAAACATAGCAACAACAATTTCCACAATCCAAATTAGAATTAAATTATGCCATACATTGGGATGCAATGCCATGTAATGTCACTCCCTATTTTTCAAAACCATTGCTACCAACATTTTCAAACCGTTAACATAACCCGTCCTTTGGTGACTCCTCAGCGATATGAGAGAAGGATTGGCTACTGTCCCTAACCCTTGGTACCTTCTGTGACGACCCTAGTTTTTTAGGCCAGCGTGTCCTATGATGAACCATAAGAATGATCCGATAACGGATCCGAAATACGGAAGCGAAAACAGAAAACAAGACTCTAAGAAGTCAAAGTGACCTTCCATGAGGTCGTGGAACTCAATGAGAACTGATGCGGAAATAAAAGATAAAAAATATGACAAATAAGCCCCTAGGGGCAAAATGGTTATTTTTAAAAAATGTGGATTCGAGTGCCATTGGTCACACCGCTGGAAAAATAACAAAAAAATAATCAGGATGGACTCAAGAATCGCATGATTCGGAGTCCGGACGAAGGAGAAACGGTCTGACGAAGAAAAATGAGCACTTAAGGCTAAAAGGGTAAACTAGTAATTATTCAGGAAGATCCAGGTGCAACCGAGCACACTGTTGGAAAGACAACGAAAAATTAGTCAAGTTCAAAAAAAAGTTCACTCGATTTGGAGTCCGAACGAGGGAAAAACGAGGGTTTGAAGTTAAGACGTCGCGGTAGCCCGACAAAGGCCATGGCGCACACAGCGCCCATGCATGAGCCCACCGGCACCCATGCCGGCGCCCGATGGCACGCACATGCTGACAGCAAGAGAAAAAAAAATGAGCTACCAGAACTAAGACTTG